AGATTTTCAAATCAGAGAAACAATTTCCTCACTCTGTGTAAATACACCAGAAAATTCCTGAAACAGAAAGACCCAAAACTGTCTTAGAAGGTAATGGAAGTTGACGGTGCCAAGAGGATACAGAGAGCAGGTTCCCCATTGTCTGATCTCACCAGACTAGGCTCATACTGCCTCTTCTGAAACCATACAGCCATTCCCTGGAAAGCAATTTTAGTATTACGAGGAAATTATAGCGTGGTGAGGGTCAAAAATGTAATGCCCTCAAAGCAGAACACTTTCCAAAGTAAAGCTTAATATAAAACTAAACATACTTATACTTTGATCTACCTTCTGCAAACTGCTTGAATATTCATGTTTCCCTTATAATCTGAAGCAACCGAATGGATGTAAACATAAACAGACTGTAAAGCCAGGAACCACACAACCACTGCAGCTGCTGTCTGCATCCTGAAGGCTTTTGAACTGGGTTCTGATCAGGCAAAAACTGCTGTAGGGCACACGTCTCCAAGTCCCAAAGTTAGAGCGTGCCCGCAGAGTTACTTATATTTAGTACTGGGAACATCGTTGCAAAGCAGTAAAACTGGAGAAAAGCTGGCACAGAGAGCATTCGAACTTGGGGTATGTCTTTTATGTCTTTTATTATAAAAGGAAACACTGACTGCTTTGAAAGAAGTTCCTTATGCTATCCCTAACTCACTTGGAAACCACAGCAAGGACCTGCCAGTCAGTGGTGGCTGCATAATTGCTCTAGGACTTCTGAGGTAAGGGTCATTCTTCAGTGTCAAATGTAATGTAATAAATAGAAAAAGGAGAAAAAAGAAAGCAATAATTTTAAAAAAAATTTGGAAGAAATTAATTATATTTTTGGCAGTGTGTGAACTGTGTTTCTCTAAGTACAACCCAGTAAGGAACACAATCTTTTCTACCACTGAGGACCTGCCCACTGGAAATTAACATCTGGGACAGTTCAGCTCAGGCTCGATACAGTCATTTGCAATCTCAGTTGATGAAGCTGGGAGAGGCAGTCCTATCTGAAAGAACATTCGATTATAGCTCCTTTCCAGTGTGCAGTTACAGCCTGAAAAGATAAATATATCAATACCAAATGGTCAAAAACATAACTCCAGCATTATAAAGACTCTTTCCATGAGCATTTATACTATCTTGTTAGTGCCTCCTAAGAGCAAACACAGGGAAGAAAAACAATTACAAGCAAAGCAGACTTAATTCACAGAAATAGCAGCAGAAAAAAAAAAGCTTACCAATATCATGTAAGTCAGGGAGGGAAGCTGCCGGGATGTTCTCCAGCTGAGTCCTCCACGTGACATTCACCCCGAGGCGGTCCACGCTCAGGCATTCCACAAAGACGGTGGAATCATCACAGACAGAAATCGAGCCGGTATTTCCAAACACATTTACCTTGAATTCAAAATTAAATGAAACCACAGTTAGTCAACCCAATAGCCTTCTATTTCTTGCCCTTCTCTATTCAGTTGCACTGTGCTATGCTCAAAGGCAACGTTTTTGAAAGGGTCTGTAGAAACAGAAGCAGAAGTAGGAAAAGATAATTTTAGTGGGTCATTTATTCACTGTAAGAATAGTCAAACGGTTCTCTTCCATCAAAATATATTTTTAATAAATATTGGACAGATGTAATATGACTTCTATGGCTACGATTAAGATGATCTTCTGATGTGGGGTCAGTGAGATTAAACATCCTATTTCCTCAACCATCCATTTGACAGTGCTGCCAATCTTGACAGATTTCATGGCATTTTCTGCTCTTCCACCTCTCTCAAACAGGCAAGGTTCTACTTTGCGTCTCCTTTTTTTTTTCTAATTAAAAAACCCAACAGACAAAAACCCCACCAACAACAGAGAATAAGGAATTGAAATTACCTCGAGGTGACACAAACCACGAGCTTTCAACTCATCTAAAATAAATATCTGGAATGCCTGGAGTAATCCAGAGTAGTCAGAATTACAAGTCTTCTCAGGAGGCAGTAGTAGTTGAAATTGTGTTTGAGCTTGGACTGTCTGAAGTAATTGGAGCTCTAAAAAATAAGTAGAAAGGGCATTTAGTAGTCTCGCTATTTAATGTGGAAACTGATTTTCAAATTCACTTTGAGAAAAGGCAACATTGATTTGGCATTTTGATCTTGCATCAACAGCAACTCCCCATTTCTAGATGAAAGCAGTACAGTATGCTTGATAAATATACCTGTTGTGCATTAGAGAAAAAGCCAGGTGATATATAATAATAAAGAAATATTTTACATTGGAGCACTAACTCACAAAAGGATAAGAAAGAATCTGGATCATTAATGATGATTTTTTGTAAGCCTCAGCAGGCAGGAATTTCCAGAGAACTAGATGAAAGTTAACGTTATGCCAATACAGAAAAGAAAGAGGAAGACAGGAATTATTGACCTGTCAACTTCTGCTTCTCTTAGATACGACTATAAAAGAACTTCTATTAAAAAAATTAATTAAATGGTTGAAGTAATTAATACTAATTCAAAAGCGCTTTCAGAAACGTAGTTTGTCAAATTAACTAGGTATCAAGTTTTAGGAGAGAATAAATTTGATTGCATCTTAATGGCATTGATGTGGACATCTACAAGGGACTTCCAGTTTTTTGATGGCAAACCAAAATGACACAAATCTCACATATCGATGAGAAACTCGTGAGCTCATGAGTCACAAAATGAAAATCTATTTAGCCAGTTTTTAACCAGAACAGAAAAGGTGCAAATTTCTTGTCTCCACTGGAGTTACACTGATCCCAGGCTTCATGGAGGGTTTGTTATGTCAGATTCAGCACAGTGGTGATGCTGTCAGGTCACCTCCAAGTGGAGCTGGTTCTTAGCCCACCAGTCCAGAGAAGAAGCAGAGTTCTCCCTCATCCACCTTCTCTACAGACCCTCACTGCATCATGTGCAAGTGTCACTGCTGGAGCACAATTCCTTCCCAGAGAGCATCCAAGTAGAATGGTGGGAGAGACCAGAGGACACAAAAGCTTGCTTCTTCCTGCAAGGCACAAAGCCCTCTATCTCTTTAGTTTATCAGAGAGTAGTTAAGAGCTGACTTAACCACAGCCTCTAAGCGTACACCTAATGTACAGGAAATAAGATGTTTAAGAGTGTGGGTAATTACCCACTGGAAGAAATTAGTAACTGTTGTGGTGAATTCTCCATTATTGTGAAGTTCTTTCAATCACCTTCAGAAGTGTTGGGAATTTTTTCTCTCTCCTTAAAACCATGCTCTATTTCAGACACAGATTACTGTGAGAAGTCATTAGCTTGCATTAAATGGCAGCTTGTATCAGATCGCCACACACTCCCCTCTGGCCTTTCAAACAGTTATTCAGTTGCCATCAAGCAAACATGAAAATGACTTAATAAGATGCTACAAAAACCTAGCAAACATGACTAGAGACAGACAAGAGTCTCATCTGAAATTTAAAATTTAAAATCATTTACATTTAGAAGACCTGGGCTACAACTGGAAATGTGTCAATACAGCAGTTTCTAGAATGGGCTCAATGCATTCTAGAGGAAGATTAACTGCAAATTTGGCATGAAGATCTGCATTTCTCGAAGTTCAGCACTGCTACAAATTGCCATTTTGATCAGAATGTATCTCTATTTGAAATAATTGAAAAGGACAGCATTAATATACGATTACATGAGCTCTGAATAGAAAACTGATTCTTCCAAGATTTAAAGTGCCATTTTTTTCCTGGAAAAAAAAACAGTTTGAAGAATACCACAAGTCAGCCAACAAAGACAACAATAATCCTAAAGAACAGACTGCTGCAAAAAGATGCAGCAGTAATAGTGACTTGATTATGCAAATAAACAGTCAAGTTCTGCCAGATTCAAACATCTGGTGCTCATCTGTTCTTCCAAGACTAAGTGGTTCCATCAGAACCACTTCATGGTGCCAGCATCTTTTAACTTGCAAAGAAAAATCTGCATATAGATTGAATAACTATTTATAGCTATATTATTACAGAAAAACGGGACTGTTTCTGACATAGGAGCTAGCCAAGAGACAGAGATTAAAATGGCAGAAGACAGGACTAATCTACTGCACCTTAATTTAGCACTTCTCATATAACTTTTGTGTCCTATTATTTTCATTCACATGTAGCTTTGTGATGAAAGCGCATTGTACAATCTATTGACATTGCTCTGTGCCCTTCCCCACCCACAGCTGTTCAGACGTACTCTGGCAGGCCTGATAAAGCGGGGCAGCCGAGACCCATCGACGCTGTTGCACATCACACTGAAACGACGTGCTGGCAGAGGCACTGTGGAAGCCCTGGCGACACACCAGCCGGCACCGCTGAATGCTTGAAGCTTGCCCAGAAATGTTTTCACAAAATACAGCTCCGTTGAGAACAGAGGAGGCACCGAATGGCAGACCACACTGCGGACCTTTAGGCACATGAGAAAGGGGCACATTAGTGGCATACTGTGAAGGACTTCTAGTAAAAAGTCCACATAACTGTCGTATCAACAGAGAAAACCTGGACAGCACTCTGTGTGTTGTCCACTCATCTCAGGTTGGATGTGGTTTGATGTGAGCATGGTTCAGCTTACCGAAGCTGATGAAAAGACACATATTGGCTTTGATGGGCAAGGCATTGGGTCCAGAAAGCTACATGCATGGTTTCTAAAAACAGATAATTTTAAAACAGTCATGAATAAATTTAAGCAGGAAATGAGGAGGTTTCTAACCATCAGCAGAACAAACCTTTACAAAAGATATCCAGTGGAAATAGGCAGGGCCAAAAAAAAAAAAAAAGGAAAAATCTCAATTCCCTCTAGAGTGAAATTTGAAAACTTTAGGATCAGGAACTTAGGACTATGGTGTCTTTAACAGCATCAGGATGTTTCTAGTGACTCATCACATCCTTAACAGTAGTATACAGCTTTGGAGTTGGAGCACAAAGTTTACCCTATCAACTCACTCTGCATCAATACAGTCATTTCAACGCTGCTAGCCCACAGTAACAGACTATTATAGCAGGCTAACTACAATGATAACTAATTTCTACTAATCAGTACAAACCAACTGCTTCACTCAATACTAGCCAAATTCCAACCTAATTACTAAATATATCTAGTAATAATGAAACACTTCTGAGTTCTAGAGCTACAAAAGAGGAATAAAAAACAACTTTCTCACTTAGAAAAAAATTAAAAGATAAAGATGTTCTCATATCATACAATTTACTTGCTTGGTGTTATGTATACATCATTTTCCAAATACCAATGCTCAGATCAGTCCCAGGCTCCCCAGTCACTGGAGGAAAGCAAGCACTGCTGATAGTCTGAGCAGCCTTCTGTCTCCCCTTCTGATAGCGATATGGAGATTTATTCCTTAACTTAGCAGCCACCTCAGTTAAAGCTTAAAACACTGCAGGACGAATCTGGGATCCAGTGTGCACAGTACATCTTTGTTTTCCAACCCTGAGCATTTCAATGCCAAACTAAAAGGCTTTCATATCTGTCTCTCTGAATTGCCAAATGCATTTTTTCCAAGTCTCCTTTATAGCATCTTTTCTGCAATAACTCTGTAAATGGGGCCACTCATCTTCACTCATTGATTCTGTATCCAGGCTCTTTTTCAGTAAATGAAGAAACCTGGAATCCTTGCTTAACAAACTTTTAGTAAGCCTCTCGAGATTTTAGGACCAAAAGATATCATTGTAAAAGAGAATACTTATCCTGACCAATGTAAACTACATCCACCATTATGTGTAAATTAGATTAATATCTCTTAATGCAAAGTATATAAAAATCAGTCGATGTCTTTTTATTGCTCTAACACATTTCTATATCCAGCAAGTCAAATCCAGTCTCAGCCGTATGCTGCTACAGTCTTTCACTGTCTGTTCCAGTGAGAGCTGTTATGTAAACTAGAAAAATAACGAGCCTCAAAGCATAGGTGATGGATGGTTTCCTGGTGTGGTTCACAGGTTTCAGTTCACAATCAGTAATTTGCTTAGTTATACCTCTACAGATATCATCTCATTTATTATTGTTATCAAGCCTGCACCATTTTGTTATTCTTCTATTCCTGCCCCACTTTCTGGAAGAGTGAATCAGAATCCAGTTGAATATTGACACTTCTTTCGTAGGTATTTCTAAAGATTTCTATAAGGAAATGACTGTCTCCAGGACCTTCTCTGGAAGGTTTTCTCTCCTCTATCTCCACTCAGAGCTGTGGAAAGTGGGCATGAGGATGGGAGATGCATGTGAGGACTGCTAGGATACTTGGCATCATCTCTCTGGTGCATGTCAACTAGAAAAAGTTGGATTCTACCTCTGATGGAAATGAATAAGCTAATGAAAACCTCATTGCATGCACTGGGCACTGTGGAGTTATTACTTGCTGTTTACAGCTGTCTGTTCTGATGTTGGAGGAGAAGTTTATTGTATCTTCTCACCACAACAGCTGATAGACAAGATCTCCAAGATAGTACTCCCCTCCCTTTTCCCTGAACAATTCTTAGTAGTTCCCAGGACAAGAAGTATAAGGCTGGATAGACTGAGGGGAAAAACAATTTTTGCTTCTTTATTCTTACACAATAACTAAGTTGTTTAGCATGAAAAAGTTCCATTACTGTTTCAAAATCCAGGAAAATCATTAAAGATTATTTCAATGGTATTTCTATGCAGAAAATAACAAATAGCTTTCAGTAAAGCCAGGTTTCCACTATATTTTCAAAGCAGTTCTCTCTCTCAGCTCAGTCTTTTAAAAAAGAAAGGTCATTAATCATTCAGTCACTGTTTCCTCTAGGAAAAGTACAGCCTTACAGGATCCCAAGAAACATCAGATGTGCATGCAAAATGTAAAATCATCTTAGGGGAATGTCTCAGGGTGCATTTACACCCTCCTTAGAACATATTCCATAAATTTAGGGGGAAATCTAGAAAATGAGCTTTCATGGAGAGAAGGAGATATCAAGAACTTAACATTTACAACTAGTTCTGACTTTTCTCTGGCCTACCAGAAACGCTTCCACTTTTCCCTTCATAGTGGATGGGAAAGTCAATCCATACTGCTGAGTGCTGGGTGTCACGCTGAGTTGCTCCAGCTGGTCCAAAGAAAATAAATATCACACAGCCCTGTGCCCCACGGAGATACCAGCCCATAACCTGAAAGCAGGATGGCAGCAGCACTGTGCTTGTTAAACTGATCAGCTCTGCTTCTCTGAAGAGCTAGAAAATTGGAATAGACTGCTACGCTCACATGGCTCATGCCACCCTAGCTCTGGAGCTCATCTCTTCAGAGCTCAGTTGGGCATCTCCACACACCACCACACTGCATGGGGCAGATATGACCCTGGGGTCTTCTTGTAGCTTCTCATAAAATCTCATCCTCACAGCTCGCTATTGGTACAAGAGACTTCAAAGAAAATGATGGTGGTGATGGTTTCCAAGTTGTCTGCAGAATTATCTAATTGAGTAAAATGACTTACAGCCAGTTGGGCTGACACAGTCAGGTGTTGCTCTTTATATAGCAGAATCACAAAAGGAAACCAAAGCAATTTCTTATCATGTGGTCTCATTTTCCTAAATCTACCAACAACTCTCATTTTAAAAAAACGAAAGAACTATGGAAACAGTAGTGTCCTGCAGGCACTAGTTGAAGGGTTTTTTTTTACATTTCTAGTTTCCACTAATCATTACACTTTGGAGCACAGCCTTACAGAAAGTTTAATTTGTTTTTTGCTTCACTTCAGTGATGGGGAGATATATAAAGGCCGTTTAAAATTAAATTTATCCAAATGTCTCCCATTTGGACATCTCAGTGGAAACCAGGAGTGAATTCCAGTGCTTTGCAGCTCTGGTCATGCAGGAAATATTCTGTGAATATGAAGCGTTTTGGCACATCGTTTTCACAACTCTGGTCACAAGCCAAGAGTAGGAGTGGCAGAAGCATACATTTTTCAAATTTTATTTTAGTCAGTGGAATGGCTTTTAATCCCAGAGCCAGCTCAGACTGGAACAGGTTCAAATTTGCAGCAAGCTGTTCTGATTGATTTTTTAGCAAAGTTTAATAGGTGAACCGCTTTGATTTAACCAGTTTTATGAATAAGGAATAGTCAAAGATCCACTCCCTTCTCCATTTGCTCTGACAAAGCACTTGAAGAAAACTGGACATCATGCCCAGGTAGGTCTGAAATCTGCTGTAACGCAAAGATAACCATACCTCTTGCGCAAAAATCTCTGTAAAGGTCTGAACAAGGAAGCTTAAATACAACTAAATACTGGAAAAAGTTAGGATCTGGGTCAAGTTCCAGACCTGGGCTTGCTCAGAAGCAACACGTCTCAAGCAGGAACTTACTTGCACATGCAGGTCTTCCTCTGCTTACTTGTGTCCCTGGCACCTCTTCTCCATTGTCAAAGACACACCAGCAGCTCTCTTGATTCTGGCTGCACTGCACAGGTGAGAAAGTCCCGTTGTCCCCTTCACACTGTGGGATGTAGCCTTTGCCAGCTTCTCGCAAACCACTTTTAGACTTCAGCATATTACAGAAACTAGGACCTTTAAAGACAGAAATTCATTGTAAGATACAGAGCAGAAGACAACAAACTGATCATCTGCAGAAATTAATAATGTACACAATTGTCCTAAACAGCAGTGCTTTTGGCCTGTTTTTGTATAATGAAGAATGGTGAGTGATCAAGAAACCACAAATAATTCAAATAATTATAGAAAAGTGGAATTTTACTTCCACTAGAAAAAATACACTTTTTTTCTAGAGATTAAAGTGCAGTTTATATGGGTTTGCATCAATAAAGTAGTGGAAAGTAAAACATACTGATCTTTATTTTGTATCAATATCTTTTTTTGCTATAAATTTGATAGTGTATCATTTAGGTGCTCATATTTTAATTTTAAAAGAATCAAATTAATCTTTTTAATATGAATTTTTGAGTGAGGTAGTTTTAAGTGTAACAATACAATTCTGTACATTTTAAAATAGCCAAAATGTCTCAGTCGAATACCTTCAAAAATGGAAAAAACCCCACCATGGAACAGAAATGTTTATGGTCTCCCACAAACAAACAAAACAAGGACATGAGCATGCAGAACCACCTCTTGACAAGAAAATCCAAAAAGTTCAGTCCAAAATTGAGACAAAGTTGGTCCTTACTAATTTTGTTCATCTGCTTGTAAACCTGTTTGACGAACAATTACAAAAGTAATTAATGGGCTTGGTGGTGTTGGGTTGATGGTTGGACTTGATGATCTTAAAGGTCTTTTCCAACCTTAATGATTCTGTGATTCTGTGAATTTCTCGGTGAACGTGCAGTTACTTATCCCCCATCAGGCCTGTTGCAGGTCTTTTGGGACTTCTATCATTAGCCCATATATAAGAAAAAGAAAGCAGACTTGCTCCATCAGATGAAAGTACTATCTAATCTAACTCAGCGTCTTCTCCTGAGTTAGTAGACAGTGTCTACTCTGTTACAGATGTTCTGGGAGAAGGTTTTCCTGAATCCAGCAGATTATTCTCCCATATTTTCTATGGGAGATGGCAAACAGCAAATCACTAGCTAAAGAACTGAAGAAACATGCACAGCAGAACTGTAGGCTCTTGGGCTGCCTGTACTGCTCAGAAGAGCAGAGCTAGGGCATGGGCTCCAATAGGGCATCCCAATTCCTACGAGCAGGGATTCTTCAACTTTTTGGATCAACCATCTCCTATGAGACCTCAACAGATCTCTGTCTTTCTTTAAAGACAACACAAAGGTATTGCAGAGCTAATGGCGTTCCATAGAGCAGTTGTGGACCATATAAAATGGACCCACTGACTGCACATGGCCCAGTTCCCACAATTCAGGATTTACAGCCTTAGGAAACTCATTCACAAGCCCAGAGAATTTTCTATGGTCGTAAGAAATGGAAGGTAAAAAAATGCATAGAAGCCTGCTCATCAGTTCGTCTAGACTGGTTTATTTCTGGTGTTACGGAAGTAAAGGATAACTATTTTCAGTTACCCTTTCAATGTCGATGTGCTTGTATATACCATATCACTGAGGAATTAAACCCTAAGCCCCCTGTGTGTCACGGGCATCATTCTGAAAAGGAAAGTACATATGCCACGAAGCATGAGGCATTGCCACTAGCGTCACAGGCTGTGGGTGAAGGATTACTCACACTCAGGATTCCCATCCAAATCTTTGCTGGCACGCTGAAATACTTCTCCTGACACAGGATCTACACACCAAATATCTGTGTTGGATCTCTGTAGCACAGCGTATTCTCCTGTCTACAAATAATCAATTACACATCATTGCAGAGCCACATATATTAATACAGCCACAATTCATACCCTAAAGATTGGTTAAAACATTTGATTATATTTACCTTTGTCCATTAATACAACACATGGAAAAGAAACACAAAATATTAAAATACAATCTAATTTAATACACAGACCAGGTCCTGAGAACAGCAGTATGCAGACCGAAAGCCCATTGAGATGAGTTCTGGTATAATCTTGGTTCGAAATGTCTGTTCTTTGCCAATCTCAGGGCTCTATCCTGCTCACTACCTTGTTTTGAGAGCATCACATACCCTATTTTGGGATACCTGCATCCAACTCCCTCTCATCCCGACATTCTCTCACAGCCAAGAAAGAGCCCCCCAAATGTCAGTCAATTAAGTGATGCCTTTTAAGCATAGCCCTGCAAGAGGACTAGGCAGAGCCACCCTGTAGGAGGTCAGCATAGGCAGGGACAGTGCTTCCTATTCCCAGTCTTCATCTCAAAACTATTTAAATTCTGCCTTATGGAGGGCAATGCCTGTTGGTTTTTTTTGTTTTATCCTTTTCTTTCAGTTTAATAGGAAAGACAAGAGTTGCTTAAGGAGCATAGACTGAAACTGTACAGGCCTTTGTCATGGTGTAAGCAAAACTGGGGAGGTTTTGTTTCTTCCTCCCTCTGTCATGTTAAATCACCTCAAGGCAGTAGGGGACGAATAGATTGGCTGTAGAGCCATCCAGTTTTGAACCGC